AGAGGGAGGAGGGAGGGAGGTTTCGGTAATGGGCAACAATAATTAACCACATTGTATATCGGAAAAAATAAATAAATAAATAAAATAATTTAAAAATTTAAAAATTTTTTAAAAAGAGAGAAGAAAAAAACAACAACCTCTTAGCAAAGAACTAAAATAGATATGAGCTCCCTTAATATAGTAAAGGATATCTCAAAAAAAAAAACCAACAAAACAAACAAAAAAACCTACAGTAAACCTTATACTTAATGATAAAATAATGAAAGTTTTCCCTTTGATATCAGGCACAAGACTAGGGTACCTGTTATCACCACTGCTGTTCAGTATTGAATGGAGCTCCTAGTGAGTATAATAAAGAAAGAACAAAAAAGTTATAAAGACTGGGAAGAAAAAACCAAAACTATTATTATTTGAATATGATATGAATGAAATATCTAGAAAATTACAATCTACAGATCAATTCTTAGAGTTTAAGCAAGGTTGCAGAATATGTAATATATGGAAATTAACTATTTCTATATACCAGCAACAAACCAAAATTGAAATGTTTTAAAAGGAGATAACATTGACAATAACATAAAAAAAATAACATGTAGCCAGGAATAATCTTATAAAACATATTCAAAACCTCTATGGGAAAATTGCTTCAATAAATGCAGCTGCTGGGTAGCTATAAGGAAAACATGTTATTGAACCCTTACCACAAACCATACTCAAAAATCAATTCCAAATCGATTAATGATCTTAATGTAAAAGTGAGGACCTAAAGGAAAGAGAGGAAAGAGCCTAGATTTATAGCTAGAATATGCCCTGTTTCTTATATCAAAAGCCTTTTCAAATGAATAAGAAAAAAGATAGACATCCTGGGCGGTAAAGGGAGCAGCCAGTTCTCCTTACATTTTTTTTCCAAAAATTTTCAGCCTTGTTTTAAAACTTTAGTGAATACCTTATGTTTTGCCGTTCTTGGTCAATATATCTTATTTGTGATGCAAGCATTGTTTTATGAACCTTAATTTCTTCAGTTCGCTCTTCCATAGCTGTGTATATCTGCTGTTTTCTTTTTTCCAGGGAAAGAACTTCTTCTGCCTTATTGTGAAGCATTTCTCGAGTACGCTTAACTTGAAGTTTTAAAAGATTGTCCTCTATCATCAAATCCTATCAACATAATGAAATTGTGACCAATTGAAACCAAAGTATTTTTTTTCTTGCTGTAAAAGTCAGACTTCAAAATACACCTTTTTCTAATTTGACCATTGACTAAGATATTAAATAGGATTAAATTTAGATTGCTCAGAGTCATGACTCTTTTTTTTTTCCTTTTCTTTTAAGAAAAGGGTTTATGCTTATTCCAAATAATTTTTTATAACTCAGTTTTAAACTCAAGCTTTACTAAAACACAAAAGGACAAAGTTATTCCTAAAAATTGAAACTTTCCTTTTCTTTTAAGAAAAGGGTTTATGCTTATTCCAAATAATTTTTTTATAACTCGGTTTTAAACTCAAGCTTTACTAAAACACAAAAGGACAAAGTTATTCCTAAAAATTGAAACTTACAATATCTAGAAAACATATAAAGTCCTATGAATGAACATCTTTGTACTCTAAATCTCACAAAATAATGTCAGAATAAATTTTTATTTTAAAACAATTCAGCCATGAGTAGAGAACTGGCATAGGAGTATACAAATAGATCACCTGTCAGAACAAAAAGCCCAGAAACAAACACTCCAGAATATAAGATTTCACAACTTCATAAACATAGCTTTTCAGCTGGAGAAAAGATTAGATCTCTACATCTCACATGTACCCAAAATACACTCCAGATTAATTAAAAATCTTAATGTAAGAAATGAGACCAATGTAACTATTAGAATAGTTACCATTTGTCTGAATTTTAGTGACAAAGAGGTTTCTAACCATAAAAATTATAAACAGAAAAAAACCTAAATATTTGATGTTAAAAAAGGTTTTATGTCAAAAATACTGAATACAAATTTAAAGGCAATAGAAAAAATATTAACAATATTTATGAGATAATATTTTTACATGTGCAGATCTTCTACACATGTAAATTGCTTCTACAAAGCAATTAAAAAATATAAATCTCCCTACAGAAAAATGGGCCAAGAATATAAACTACAAACTCAAACAAAATTAGGGAACACACATAATGGAAAAAATGTTAGAAACGTTTTTTAAACATAATGTTTAAAATTTTATCTTTAAACAAAATGTTTTCAAATGTCACCAATTTTTTTAAAAAATGAAGACTAAAACAATGAGATGCCATGTTTGTCTATCAAATTGGCAACAATTTTATGAAGGAGGATATGCAGACTCAGTGGTGGTGATAAAATACAATACTTACACACTGCTGGTGGGAGTACTGATGGAACCCACTAGAAGGCAACTGTGCTTGAAAACAGTTTCAAGACACTAATAATATTCATTTATTTTTGAACCGTAAACTAATGGAACAACTGTACAGCAATATATGTGCATTGTACATGATAGTACTATTTATAATAGCTCAACAATGGAAACAAACACATATCTAAAGAATAGAAGATCGTTAAATAAATTATGATAACTTCATGAAATGGTATTGTAGAAAACCTTAAAAAAAATTTTTTTTTTAATTTTTTTTGGCGGCTTGTCCTTGGTGTTATCAACACCATGCTCTAACCAACCAGCCAAAAAAAATATTTTTAAAAAAACAGTTACTGTTTTAGGAAACATGTGTAATATATTAAATTTTTAAAAAATACAACATATAAAGTCAATTTTAATTTTTTTTGGCGGCTTGTCCTTGGTGTTATCAACACCATGCTCTAACCAACCAGCCAAAAAAAATATTTTTAAAAGAACAGTTAATGTTTTAGGAAACATGTGTAATATATTAAATTTTTAAAAAATACAACATATAAAGTCAATTTTCTTTAAAAGACTGGAAGGAAACAGACATTTAACAGTGTTTATCTTGGGTACAGTAATTATAGTGACTTATTTTCTTCTTCATAATTTCCTATATTTTTAGATTTTTCTACAATTAACATGAAAACATACAGTTTTAAATACTCTATATGCATATAAATTTATTGCACCTGCTTAAAAGCTCTGGCTTTATTAAGTTCTTTCTCTGATCTATCAGTGAAAAGGTTTAGTTCATTTATTTTGGTCATAAGGCACTGTTTTTCATCACAATTTTTACTGTTTGACTTCTTGATAAAGTAAAGATCATTCTGTAAAAAGGAAAAAAGGGTACATAAATGTATGTTTTAAATAACAACTATATTAAATACATACCATATTAAACATATCTTACATTTAATTATATATTTTAAATATTTATAATCTCTAATATAACATAGATGGATATTCACATAGAACATCATCTATTGATGTTTTGGGTTTAGCGTGACTTCAATAATTCCAGAAAATATTATGTATGGTTCCAGTTCAACCTCTGTATCTGCAGGAGACTGGTTCCAGGACACATTTCTGCCCAGCCATCCCCACCCCTACATTCCCACGCCCCCACACCAAAATCCCCAGGTGCTCAAGTCCCTTATATAAATAAGGGCAATATTTGCATAAAACCCATGCACATCTGCCCGTATACTTTAAATCATCTCTAGATTACTTGTAATACCTAATACAATGTAAATGCTATTTAAAGTTGTTATACTGTATTGTTGACTGTATTATTTGACAGTATTAAATGACAAGGAAAAAGTCTGTACATGTTCAGTAGAGACACAACCACCCATTATTTTTTCCAAATATTTTGTCATCTTAAAAGAAAAAAGGGAAGCGGGGGGAGTAACAGCTCCCTTTCACCTTTTGCAGCCCTCAAGTTCAGGACAATTCTTCATGGAAACACTAGAGGGCACTCATCACTAGTTTTACCAACCGTAAATAACATTTAAATCCTGCCAAGATCTCACCCCATTCAGGTCCACGTTCTCACTCCCTCACTCTTACTCAGCAATTAAACTTTAACATAGGTTTTATATTACAACGAACATAATAAAATTCCTAAAGATGAAGAACTTTCTCACCTTATTAATAGAATCAAGTCATTTAAAATACTGGAACTAAGTAAATATTTGAATAATAACAATAGATGATCCTTTACAGAACAGCTTCTTTCAGATGGCATTTCAGACATAAAGGACAATCAAGTTATTTATTATGACAGATGCATAATAGAAAATTGGAATTTATCAATGTTCTAAATAGTTTACTCTTAAGAATAGTTTGAAGTCAAATGGCCCAGGGATCAAATCCTAGCCCTCCATGTACTAGTTGTGTAGTCTTGGACAAATTACTTAATCTGTGAAACAGATAATAGTATCTTCCTCACAAGACATTTATAAGAATTAAGTGAAATAAAATACTAGAGGCATGTAATTCAATATTTAGCATATAGTAGATGCTTAATGGTAACTAATGTCAAATTCTAACAGTCAGTAAAGAAATACCAACATTTGTTCATATACTTGTTATATATGTGGGTCGCTCGGCAAACACCCTATCCAAAGTAGTCTTAAGAACACATTGACTTAAAACAGAATAACTAATAACTAGAATATCTGAAACTTAAAAAGCATATTTGGCTAAGTTACATGAAGCTTCTTGATCTGTGTTTCCAAAAGGCCAAATGTAGATTTTTTCTCTTCCAATGACTTCTTAAGTTCAACAATTTTTGCTTCAAGGGCTTGTTTTTCTTCTGAATTAATTTCTCCTTTTAACCGTGACATTCTCCGTTCCACTTGTTGAATGTAAAAATCCTGTTGGGTTTTCAAAAAGAATTTAGTAAGGAGAAGGACTTTGGCCTCAACATTATCATTTAATAAAGTCACTTTATTCCTTCAGTAATTCAGGATAAAATCCTTCTTACTCAAAGGGGTGCAACAACAAACTATTCTTCAACAATCAGACACAGAAGTAATCTTCTGAAAATATAACAAAGTAGAAGGATATTTATCATACTGCCATGATGGAATATCAGTAAATCCACTGGGTTTACACGGACATGGATATTTGAGGGTACATTCTCTAAGGGATGCAAAAAATACAGCCACAAATTGTTAGCCATAAAAGACTCAAATATGATAAACTTCTAATGAATTATTTTTTAAATCATATTTTAGTATCTGTAATTTTGAGACAATAAGAATATATTAAATGAGATAATTAAGATGTAGGGAGGGACATTAAGAAATTAACATGAGTATATAGATGGAACAAAATAAGGAAAAACCAAAAAAAAATACTCCCACTCTATTGGCCTCGGGGTTGGGACAGGAGTGCCCATGTTTGCACAACTAAGAATCAACATAGAGTTTTTCTAGGTTTCAGATATCCCATGCCTTCTTTTGTTTTATTCTGGGTCCAGCTGCCCAAAGTTCCATTAAAATATGGTTCTCCCTCAGTACAGTTGTCTTTCCTCTTGCCTGTTTACTTCAGATCAAGAAAAAATGTAGATTTTAAGGCTCCCCCACCCTACTACTGACCTAACATTTCATCCCACCTTCAGCATCTTCTATCCCTCCAAAAAAAGTGCTTAGAAATCTTTGCTTTCTAAGTACACTGAGGTACCTTGACCATCACAACTATAGCAAATCAATACAGAAGATATTCACAAGAATAACATCTACCTGACTGTACATAATTTCCTGCTGCTTCAAGGTTTCAAAATCCAGTCTATGTAACTGATGGTTGAGATGCTTTAGAGAGGAACGGGTCCCTTCGATTTCTGATACAACAGCTTTTTCTTTCATTGTCTCAGTCTGTAACTCCTGAACTTTCTTAAATAGCACATCTTTCACTATGTTCAATTGAACTTCCACTTCCTGATAATAAGAAGTATAGTGATTAATGAAATTATAATATCTTTAAATGTTTTACGTATATGAACATTATAATTTAGGAGCTCATAAATAATCATGTACCACCCAACATTTTAGCCCTTGAGAATATAAAGCCCTTCTCACAATTTCAATAAATTCCCAATATTTCTTGTAGTTTATTCTAGTAGACTAGAATAGTAGTTTTCTATTCCTGTATCATGTACCTTGATCTGTCATCTTAATTCCATCTTACATTGCCCTAGCTTCAGAGCATAGCCACTCCACTAGTTTCCTCAGAAAATAAAATCCACTGGGAAAATATAGCTGGTAAGCTCGCTCACAAAGTTAACTTAAGTCCTGAGGGTGTTCAGGGAATAAATCACATCTCCCAATCTCCCACCTTCTTTTTGGCACTATCCAGTGATGAGCAGGTAAATGTTTAACCATCAGTTCTCCAGTGGATGGGGGTTAGTGGAAGAAACTGATTTCCGAGATGTAAATACTCCCACTACGGCCAATTTCAAGCTACTAACATGATTTTTCACCAAATGCAAAATTGGCAAGAGATAACACAGAAGCATATTATTATGCACTATTTCCAACATACTGATATAATAGATGTAAATAATCTTAAGTAACCTTAAGAGCATAGATGATAGTAAAATATAGTAAAATAATTTGGAAGTAATGAGTGCTGAATATTCATTACTTTTGCTTTGAATATAATTTACTTGTAAGTCTATATAATTTGATGTTTAATAGTAGCTTTGTTTAGCAGCCAACTTAAAAAGTTTCTTAACGGCCGGCCCGGTGGCGCACTGCTATAGTGCGCCGCTTGGGAAGTGCGGTGTCATACAGACCGGCCGCTCACTGGCTGAGCAAGGGGCGGGAGCAACACCGAGGGTTGCGATCCCGTGGCCAGTCCCGGTCCGGTATGGGCGCGACACTGAGGGTTGCGATCCGTTGCCGGTCACGAAAAAAGACAAAAAGGAAAAAAAAAAAAGAAAAAAAAAAAAAGTTTCTTAAAATTAAATATTGGCTCTTGTGAGCTGGTAGGGGCTGATCCCAGCACACTACTGGCAATACCCATCACTCATGCCTTGCCTCCAGTTTGTCTTCCTAGCATGTGCAGTGTGTGGGAAATAAAAACAAGCCCCCATTCCCACTGCTCCTCCCTCAGGAGACTGACCTGTCTTGTTTGACCTGGAGGTTTCACAGCCAATGTTTTTCAGGCTTCAAATAGATCTACCATGCCAAGATCAATTGAAAGTTATCATTTTTAAATGTTGAAATAATTTGCCTGTGTGTTCTTATACCCAGACAATCATATTTCCCTTTGACAAACAATTAACCTCAACATGAAACAAAAGAAGTCTGTGACTAGCCATTTAAATCTTCACAAAGCAAGAAATATAATCTGATATTTGATTCCTTTTTTTTCGAATAATAGACAATTTTAATTAGGTTTAAAAACTTCTCAAAGATTGTCTGGCAGAGTTTTAAAGTCTGAATAACACAGTACATCCAAGAATTGGGATTTTTCCAAATAAATAGAATCCAACAGCAACAAAAAGTCAAGATTATGAACATACCTTGGCTAGAACACGATCAGTACACCTGCTGCCAATATTTTTTTTCATAATTCACCAATTACTTCAAAAATGTCAGAAATTTTTTTTTCTCTCTGACCAAAAGGTCTCTTTCATATGAATTTCACAGTCTTTACAGGTTTATAAGTTATAATACTGTCCCAACTCATGTGCTATAGAAAATCATGCTCTAAGGGGGAAAAAAACCCAACATTTGAAAATAATTTTGAACAATTTGGACTTCGTTACTCAAAAATTTTACAGCACACTGAGGAAGCTGGATTCCATCCAAATATAAGTAGAGACATATTTGATAGAAGCCTCATAAAATGTTGGGGAATTTTGCCCCTATCTTCATCTACTCTTCCCCCCTCTAAAAAAGAAAAAAGTAAAAGAAGTAGTGCCTACAGTGTCAGCATACACTTATAGATCACTTTGAAGTTTTCAAAGAGGAAATCGTGAACTAGCCTTTTCAAGTTCCTCGAAAATTGGCTTTAATGCTACCAACATGCCAAAGAAATTGAGGTAGAAAAGGATGCTAGTAGAGTTAGTAAAGTGATAGCATTTCAGAGCCCATTTACCAAAAAAAATGGTATCAGATTGTAAGAGGTTAAAGAGACAGTAGACAATGAAGAAATACAGATAATGAATGTAGACCATCAGGGGAAATAAATCACAAAAAAACAAACAAACAAAATAAAATGAAAATCAGGTGGAAATCAGTAATAAAATAGGTGCATTTTCCAAGTATGTGTGCAATATACCAGCAGATATGTGAATGATGACAGGGACACGGACGCAGTCAGAAACTGGGAAGGAATGGAATGTGGGACACGGTGGAAGGGCTGGCTACCTTTAAAAGAAGCATCAAAGTTAAATGCTGAAAGTGCAGCAAATGAAGAACAGGTAGCTAAAGAAGAGGGGTAGTTGGGAACATCTTCAGAAGCAATACATAAAGAGAGATGCGAAACCAGATTATACATAGGATTGTACCAAAAGGCAGAGCATTTTAGTAGCCCTCCTGGTCCTCTGATCCTGAAAGTCTGATTAATTTACTCTTGCTAAATTTGCTGTGATTTTTTAAAAATTAAAACTAAACTTTACCTTTACACTTTTTTCCTCCTCCTTTAGCATATCTTCCAAATTGGTAGCTTTCTCTTCTACAGACATGGTTTTCTCAGTTATGTGCTTTAAGTTTTTTTTAATGATCTCATTATGATTTTTAATTTGCTGTAACCTAAAGAGAGTTTATAAGGAAAATATAGAAAACAAGCCTTAAAAGTATTTAATACAAAGAACGGTTTATCCTAAGATTTCTTTATATAACTGGAAGGTTTCTTTTGCAGTAAACCTTTTTATCATTACATATTTAACAAGCCATAAAAATTTTATTACTGAGTCTTTATAATAAAAAAGCCAGAAATTATTTTTAAAGCTTAGTAATGTAGTAGCTATACTTTTGCAGTTATTTTACCAAAATAAGTACATAATAATTTTCTAGAAGTAGTAAAAAAAAAAAAAAAATGTAAACATATTTAAGTAGCTTTTTATTACCTTGCTGTTTCTTCATTAATGTCCTTCTTTATTTTAGAAATATTTGTCCTCAGAGCTTCTAAATCACTGGAAGTTCTATTCACGGTGGCTTTTAAAGAATCCAGCTATTTATTGGTTAACAGACAGAAATTATATATTTACTCCATATCTTACAAATTAATTTCATTTCTGAGTTCTATTCTGCCCATTTCAACTTTTAACCTATATCACACCCATAAAAACAGTAATCATTTTTCTATAATTAATGTATATTAACAGGTTTTCTTTCTTATTGATCTGGTATCAAATTTTAAATGACATTGTTGTACAATACTGGCAAATTATAGAGACCTACAGATATGTGTTGAAAGTAAATGCAGAACTGTCCAACATCACTAGACCTGCTCAGAAAGAACACATCCCAAGATTCAACACAAATTCACGTATATGTACAAAGTACTTATGAGAATCATAACAAGTTTAATTGGATGTGGAAAATCTCAAGAGATTCTAATACATCATCCTCCTAACTAATGACACTCATTTTATTGTTAATGTAAATTGTTAAACCAGAAAACCCAAGACATCAATTTTTTTCATTAAGAACCATTGCAGAAACCCTAATGACTTCACTAAAAAACTGTTAGAATAAATTAATTCAATAAAGTTGCAGTTACAAAATTAACATTAACCAGTTGTGTTTTTATACACTAACAAACTATCAAAAAAAATCAAGAACATCAACTCCATTTACAATAGGATCAAAAGGAATAAAATATTTAGTAATAAATTGAATCAAGGAGGTGAAAGAGCTGTACACTGAAAACTATAAAACATTGATGAAAGAAATTGTAGAGGACATAATAAATGGAAAGATATCCCATGTTCATGGATAGAAAGCATTAAAACTGTTAAAATGTTCATACCACCCAAAGCAATCTATGGATTCCATACAATCCTTACTAAAATTCCAATGTCATTCTTCAAAGAAATAGAAGAAAAAAATCCTAAAACTTTTACAAAACAAGAAAAGACCTCAAATAGCTAAAGCAAACTTGAGCAAGAACAAAGCTGAAGGAATCACACTTCTCATTTCAAACTATATTACAAAGCTATAGTAATCAAATCAATATGGTACTAGGATAAAAACACACACATAGACAAAAGCAACAGGATAAAGTATCCAGAAATAAACCCACATATATACAGTCAACTAATTTTTGACAAAGTCACCAAGAATATACAATGGGAAAAGGATATACTCTTCAGTACATGATGTTGGGAAAACTGGATACCCACATGCAAAAATAAATAAATAAACAAAATTGGACCTTTCTCTTGCACCATATACAAAAGTAAATACAAAATGAATTAAAGACTTAAATATAATACCTAACACCACTAAACTCCTTGAAGAAAACATAGAGGAAAAGCTCATTGATATTGGTTTCTGCAACAATTTTTTGGGATTCGAGACAAAAATCACAGGCAACAAAATCAAAAATAAACAATTGAAACTGCATCAAACTGAAAAGTTTCTGTACAGCAAAGAAAATAATCAACAAAATTAAAAGGCAACCTACAGAATGAGAGAAAATCTTTGCAAATCATATATCTGATGAGGGGTTAATCTCCAAAATACACAAAAAACATACAACTGAATATAAAAAAAAAACAAATAACCCAATTAAGAAATGGGCAGAGGATCCAAATGGACATTTTTCCATAGAAGATATACAAATGGC